CCCTTCAGTCTAAATAATTATAATAAGGGCACCGCGTTTCCACCGACCTTGGCACTGACAGTAACGTTCACTATATAAGTCAAACTGGTATTTTACAAAGCTGGAATTTATCCAAATTAAATGAAGAACCAATTTTGATGCGAGAATTTGGAGCGCACCCATTGGCGACAGGGCTGTGACCATCAACTCGCATCACACGAGAACCCGGTTCAATCACTGGCAGCTGTCACCTGGATTTGAAACCCAGGACTTGTATCTACACAAAACACTGCGCGCTGCAAGCAGACGTACGGTACTTATATGTAGGTTCGTACTGCATCGCTCTCCGACGCTTTTTCGAGTTGCGCCTTGCGTCGTTCCGACGCTCCTGGAGAAGCTCCGAGCGCGCGGAAGGGAAATGTCGGAAGTCGTGCCGAAGGGAGAGAGTCATGCCAGCGCGTGCGGTGCCAACGCACCAACGGGCAGCACGGCTCGATGCCACGCTGGGCTGTTTCCCACACAAAGCGGCGGCCGTTCCCTCGCCCGAGCGGACTCGGCGCTATCTTGAATTTGAGATAAAACCACAAAACGGGGGAAAGTGGCATCGTCTGCCATCCAGCGGGGCTTCTCACCCGACTAGAATCTCTCTCGACTAAGCGGGGAGAGCGATCTCCGTTCGCCACGGCCGCTGTGCGAAATGCAAAGTGCGTGGGCTCACTGTACACGTGACGACTCTGCGTCGTGACGATATTGTCCCGACTAGACATCAGCACCCCCCCCCCTCACCCCCCCTCACAAAACTCTCAATGTCACTGCAGGCCGTGTACACGCACAGAACGCCGTAGCGGTGGCTGTGCACGTGGCCTGTGATCCAGCATTGTGGACGCAGCGAGGGTTGGTGGGTCAACGCGCTCCAGCAAAAAATGTTGACTGGTCCTGTTCTGTCCGTATGGGATAAAGTGTTTCTCCACTCGGATGCGTGGGTTTTCTCTGGGTGCTACCGTTTCCTCCGACATCTAAAAACTTACATTTTTTCGGCCAATAATGCCTTCAAATATAGCGAACCATAAAGCTTGGGTAATTGTTGGCACCATTTCACCCTCTGGTTGCCTTCCTGCTTGTCTGCGATTCCTCACACCTCTGAGTGACTGCATTGCACGTTCCAGACGGCCGTCTGGAACGCTCTTTTTTCTGATCTTCGGAAGCCACGAGAGCTATGCACTTTTAAATGTAGATTGAAAACTCATTTCTTTAGAACAGTTTTTGTGTGTTTAGTTTTGTTGTCCTTCCCCCGCACCTCCGATTAACATGGCTGGCTCAGGACGGTGCAAAAGTTCAACAACTTACAACACACGAGTCGCCCTCTCTCACTGCGGATACTCTGCGTGTCACAAGTGGATATCATTACGCATCATAATTATTATTTATTCAGTAAATAAATGGGCCAATAACCAGCTGATTCATTAATTAACCGACAAGTCATTTGAGGACCACATAAAGAACTTATGGGTGCCACGGTGGCGATATGTTTACTACCTCGCCTATTATACAGAATGTTGTGGGTTCGATCCCAACGCTGCCGCCTTTATATGGTTGCGTACATTTTCTCTGGGTCCCCGGGGTTTTTCCCTTCACATTTAGAATCAACGTGCGTTTAGATTATTCGGCTGCTATAAATTTCCACGTGATAAGCCACTTTGTTAAGCTATCATTTGTGACCAGGGCGCATCTGAAAAGACTTACAAAGCCCAGTGGCTAAATTGTGACCATTTTCTCGTTACCGGTGTTTTGTCCGTTCCTTCCAAACCGAAATTCTGTCTCGCGCCAAAACTGGTTCGGTGGAAATTTTGCGCTGCCGGCGAACGCCGCACAACGAGGGAGCGGTTCCCGTCATCGATGCTTTCGCAACTTTTTTCCTTTGGCTCCCAAAGTCAGGAAGCAAATTATTATTACTTTCCAAAACAGCACCGCGCGACCACCGTCGAAACCGTTTGAAACCACGCGCCGTAATCAATTCAACATGCGGGCTCGCAGAGACACGCGAACGGAGGAAGACACGCGAGGGCGCACAAATACAAAGATCCACCGTATCGCCTTTAACAGGCTGTTTGGGGCGAAGGGGGTGGGGGGGGGGTCAACGCCACGCCCAGTGGCAATGCTAAATAGACACCGCGCCAGGTACTCATTTAAGGCCGAGTCGACCTCGGGGAGGCCAGAGACCGGATTCAAATATCCGCTCACCCCCCCCCCCCCCCCCCCCGTTATTGTCCGGGAGCGTGAATCGTACGCGGGTCGCCAGGTTGGTAGCGCAGTGCGCGGGGACCACTACGCTGCCCCTCCCCACGGGCGTGCACACACAAACACTCACGAAAGCACACGCAAGTAGGCACCAGCATGCACCTAGGCGGGCATGCGGAGGCACACGCATGCACACAAGATCATGCAATGACACACACACACACACTGGAACCAAAGCAGAGATCCCCAATTTAAGCTCGTTTGCTGTGGAGGCCAACGCCGCTAGCGATGGTCCACGCGGGAGGGCGCGTGGCACAGTTTGGTGCCAGCTATCGTAGAGAGCGGTCATGTTGCTACGATTATCTGCGGTGAGCGCAATGTCTTTTAATACAGCGGCGCTACCACGCCTCTATCATTAACATGTACGCCAAGCCGCTTGCGCAGTCCGAGATTCAGCGGTGAATGAGACACCGACACCACCCTGCAACTCGCGGGTGTCTCGGAACGGGGAAGGGTCAAGGATGGCACACGAGGTGATGATGTGGCCAGAACCACACTCACAAAAACATTTATATCTTTTGTTACACCATTTATTGTTGTACAATCCAAAAATACGACGGAGACATCACAGCGATTACACTCTGCGCTACTCCAGATGCGGTTATCTGGGCTTGACCACCTTGAATGTGAAACTGCATCATCGTTTTAACGCTGTGGGCTCACACGAAATTGAATATTGTTACGACGATATTCACCGCAGTCTCTCGACCCTTTCACGGGAGTGTTTGGCTCATCTATTTACACATCTATATAAATGGCTAATGATGTCTGCGACAACTCAGCTGGCGTCCGGTTCCTGGATAGTCGGCTTTGGCTCCACGATGTCTTTTGTGAATCGTGAAATTTTAGCTGTACAGCGTCCGCGTAGCCTCCTTTGGTCGAACTGTCAAGGGTTTGAATCTTTTCAGATTTCATTTTTACGAAAGATTTCATTTTACAACTATCACGTAGCTCAGAAAGACACGATGGAGGCAATATCCATGACGTGTTCTAGATTTGAAGTTTTCGTGACTGCAAGGATCCATACTCTTTGTTTTTTTCGGTAAAGTCACGTAGGTGAAAAATAACAATTACATAAAAATACAATAAAAATAAAACAACACAAATTTGTTGTTTTATTTTTATTTGTTTTCTTTTGTTTTCACCTACGTGACTTTACCGAAAAAACCAAAAAGTATCCATGATGTGTTTATTTAAAAGTGAAATTTG